CCAACCGAATAGCAATGGCCTCGAACCTAGTAGCGATGGCCTCCACCTCTGAAAATGCTTTGTCTTAAACTCTGATTCGCTTCGTTTTGTGACCGCAGGTACTTTGGTGGTGCCGCCAAGGGTGAATGGTGCCTCGACAGCGTAGGAAGCCGGAAGGCAAAGCAAAGATATATTGATCAAATTAGAGTAAGTGAGTGAGAATATAGAAGCTGCTAGGAAGCTTCAGAGGCGGCAGCATACTTTATGTTCTTGTTTTCCGTTGTAGCTTGTTTAACTCCATGGCAATTGATTGGTGTTTTGTAATTATCATGCTGTTTCTATACCGAAAAAGGCATAGACATGCAAAGCCAAGAAGGCCTCGAGAGTACCTGGAGAGGTCTGGCCTTTCGGAAGAGATGAAGCAGGCGATTGTTGCTTCTCAGAATGACTCATTTCGGAGACATAAAGTTTTTGCAAACTGAGCAAAACGTCAATTGTTGAAATTCCATCACTCCCAGTTTCCACTTTTTCCTGCAACCAAGGTCAAGCTCCGTGCAGATCAAGGTCCAGTGGGGCAGGCGAGAAGTGCTACCTGATCCGATTTGATATACCGATTGATGATGTGTGCCTTACGTGATGCCAATGTGGTGATGAAAGTACATATAGATGATCAACGGATGATTGAATGTTGGTGTAACAAGGAATGAAGCGTAGGAGCAAGAAGCTACTAGGAGCAAAGGGCATCGCTACTAGGAGCAAGGACGCTACTAGGGGCTCCTGGCCATACTACTAGGAACAAGAAGCTACTAGTAGCAAGGACGCCACATGTGTAATGCGGTCTTCACCCACCGGCCATGCGGAAGGGGGGCTGGGGGGGTTGGGTGGCTATGAAAGGCATCGCCCATCGTAGCCCAGGGCTACCTCTATACTTTCATTCTGTAGCTCGCAGCCTCCCAGTCTACAGCCTGACCTTCAAAGCACATGCCGCATGCATCTGCATGCAGCATAATTATTTGAACAAATCTCAAATCTAAGATCTTCGTTCTTGTCGCATGTCATATTCTCTTGCACACTTTCCAGATTCTACCAATGGGGAAGGATAGTAATTTGATGTAATTTGCGATACATCTCAACAAACTCGCCTATGACCTTGCAATTGCATATGTAAATACGCCCCCGTGTTTAAAGGCGTAGGGAAGTCAAGTGAGAGTTTTTACCGCAGCACTGGCTCAGCGTGTGAATGTGGGGGCACCCCCCTACCTGCGGCTGCAGCCTGTGCCCGTCGATCGAGCGCTTCCACCGGATCGTTGGGCTCGCGAAGGTCAGCCCGAGGTTCGTGGACTACGCGACCGTGCGGGTGAGGAACCTCATCGGGGAGCTCAGCGACTTCCTGGAGGCAAATCCTGGGGAACGGGAGGACCTGGCACGTCCTCCTCCCCAGGTGGGTGGCAAAGGCGCTGGACGTGCAGAGGAAGGAGTCGGACCGGCAGCAGCAGGACAGGGGGTTGAGAAGCAGGTGGAAGACCCCAAGGAACCTACAGAAGAGAAGACATCAGCGGCAGCGGCATCAGAACCAGGCGGAGCAGGAGAACATCATCCCGGAGGCATTGCAGTCAAAAGAGAGGAGGACGAAGAGGACTCGATAGATCCACAAGACAAGAAAGAGTCAGCAGAGAGCAAGGCAGTTCACAAGGAGGTCAACGAGGCTGAGACTCATCAACCCGCAGCAGAAGTGGAGGCAGAACCAAAGGCTAGTGGAGAGGTTGAAGAAGAGCGCACAGAGGGTCACGGTGTAAGGGAGGTGGAACCAAAATCTCCTCACCGTCGAAGAAGAAGAAGAAGAAGAAGAAGAAGAAGAAGAAGAAGAAGAAGAAGTGAGGCGAGTCGTACAAGGTCTCCAAAGGTCAAGAGAAGAGGAGAGAGTTCCCATCGTCGACGAAGGAGGGGCGACAGCAAGGCCGAGAAGAGGGTGATCAAGCCTAGCCACGCCCCAGAGGGGAGGGTGGAGCATCGGGAGGTCAGGAGACCGAGATCTCCCTCGAATCCCCCTCCTGGGTTTACAGGACAAACCATTCTGGTGCCAGCTCGACCTGTCTATCGTGGACCCCCTGACAGCCCCGAGTATCGGCCATACGAAGGAGCGAAGAACAAGGGAAAGAAGAAGGTTGAGACTCAGCGATACTTCAGGGACTACGTGGCGGAGCGTCGGGCCGAGAAGAGAAAAGCCCGCGAAGAAAGGGAGGAGCGCTGGTAGAAGGAGGTTGGATGCCTCCTAGGCCGTTGCGACGGCCAGCGGCAGAGGGGAGGTTTCGAGGAGGTCGAGATAGAGGAGACGCAGACAGAGGAGCTGGCCGTGAAGGAGCCCTTCGAAGGAGACCGGCAGCTGCAGGAGAGCGATCGACTGGTTTTGAGGCTGGAGAAGAGGTGGCCGCCCACCAGATCCCAGTGGGAGTATGGAAGCCAGGGCTTCAACTCCTGGGAATGGGGGTCTACTACAACAGGGAGATTGCCATCGCGGTCGAGGTGGATGCCCTGAGATTCCAAGGAGGAGCTCTGGAGGTTATGACTTGGGTGACAGGAACCCAGGACGAGGGACTTCTCCGATGGGTGTCAGGGAATGCCGGGACGGCCTTGAGATGCCACATATGCTTGGAGGACTGCGCCAACATCCCAGAGGGGGACGACATTCTCCATCTCAAGAAGGTGAAGTACCGGGGTGCGGACAGCCCGCCTTGGGCCGACAATCTCAAAGAGCCGACGGGGATGGAGGAACTCCGACGGTTGGCGGCACGCTCAGACGCTCTTGCTCGCGACGTGGAAGAGGTGAAGGAGGTGGAGAAGAAGGAAGGAGAAGCTCAGCCACCAGCAAGGAGAGACGCCAGAAGTTCCAGCGGAACCAGTGGAGGTCGAAAGAAAGAGAAGAAGAAGGCATTCAGGCCAGCAGGAAAGAAGGAGCATGCAGCCTTGTACAAGGGGACGGGCCTAGATCAAGACGCTCGTACCCGGAAGAAAGTTTCCCGCCTGGCGAGGCGTGCCATGAAGAAGAAGAAGTCAAAGAGTTCGAGCTCCACCGGGACAAGTTCGACCTCAGAGGCAGCAGATGGCATGGAGGACCTATTTCAGGAAAGTCAGAGGACACAATTGGCCTCCAAAGCAGGCCCCGGAGCCCTGGCGTATCACGCCATTCGCCAAATGCGAAAACAGATGCTGCAGGAACAAGGACAAGAAGGCCTGGAGATGAGCCCCGTGGGAGCTGTCGGGTTGCAATTCTACAGACAAATCCTACGGCCCAAGATGACGCCGGTGATGGCCCGCGAGGCTCTGAACATCTCAGCAGCGCTGGACGCGCTCTTGAGCTGCCAGCCAGCACATGCAGCAGACGTGTTGGTGCAGAGGCTCAAGGCCCTAGAGAGCATGGCGAGCGGCTCGTCGTGGCAGATGTCACAGCGGTTCGAGATCGTGCCGATGGACCTGGGAAGCTTGGCCTCACAGGCGGAGGCGACAGCAGTGGCAAGAGAAAGCCGAGAAGAACAGAAAAGCCGCCAACTCCAGAAGGGAGCCTGGGAGCACAGCTCCTGGAAGGGCGGAAAAGGCGACCAGAAGGGCGAGAAAAGGAAAGATGAAGAGCAAAGATGGGAAGTCCAAAGGAGGAGACAAAGATCGCGCTCGCGGAGACAAAGCCGAGAAGTGACTGGCCTTGCAGAAGATGAGATCTCAGAAGAGTTGAAGAGGATGAGAAAAGAGGTTGAGGAGAAAGAGCCTGCGAAAGCCTGCCAAGATGTCAAAGAGAAGAAGACTCAGGACAGCCAGTATGAGCCTGAGGTTTGCACTACCCCTTTGAAGAGGTGGTCACGTACAGAAGGAGCAGCCGAGAGTGCCAGCTTGGTGGCTCCGAACCCTTTGCCGTCCGTGATGGATGCAGAAAAAAGAGCGGCGCGGGATTCGAGCACTTTCGATTCGTTCGTTGAGGGGTGGGTTCATGACTTGTCACTTTTTAAGCTTTGCAAGGTCAAGACCATGGGAAACCTCTTGCCCTTTCCCGTTGACTCGATCGTGGAACACCCTTCTTTTTCGGGCGAAGATCGGCGAGTGTTGGTGGTTCTGAGAGGACTTTGCAGTGGACTCAATTCACTTTATGGCAGTGATCCTGACGAGACGCTTAAAGTGTCAGCCGCTCACATTAAATGTTGCGTGTTTTTGATGGAAGAGGCGAAGAATTTTGTTGGAAGATGTCCTGCCCTCCCTGCCCTAAGTTGGGAGGAGTATCTAGCAGTACGAACTATTGACTACAAAGGTGACGAGGTGAAGGTGGCACAAGTGACTTCCTGGGAAAATGTTCGACCAGCGTTGCCTAGTGAAGTGGGGACTGTGCCGTTGGATAGCGTGGTGACCAAGGGGTCTTTGCACTACACCTTGAACTTTAGCACCTACCTACTACCTGAACATGAGCAGGTTTACACCAAACCTCCGAGAATCATGGTAGCACAGAGCGCATGGGAGGACCTGTGCAAGGGACTCCTCGCGTCGGGAGTCTGCGGGCTCATCAGGGAGGCTGACGTCCACATGGTTCAGGGCAAGAGACTTTTCAACGGACTTTTTGGAGTTCCTAAGGACGACACGGTTGATGGAGTGCCTGTCCATCGCCTGATTATGAATCTGGTCCCACTCAATCGCATTTGTCGATCGATGAATGGTGACGTTAGCACGTTACCGGCTTGGCCGTCGATGCACCCCTTTGAACTGAAGGATGGCGAAACTTTGTTGATGAGCTCCGAAGATGTTCGCTGTTTCTTTTATATTTTCACTGTTCCTAGGGAGTGGCACGCCTACATGGCCTTTGGGCGACAAGTTCCCGGTGAGCTGTGGCCGGACCAGAAGGGGCCCTACTACCTCTGTAGTCGTGTACTACCTATGGGGTTTTGTAACTCAGTCTCCTTAGCCCAGCACATCCATCGGTTCATCGTAGCGGAGGCAGTAAAGGAGTGTGTTCAGCGTGGAGGGCGCGCAGGCTGGGAAGCAGAGCATCGCAAGGATCGACCGTTCAGCTGGAGCAATCCCTCTTTCCGCGTGTACTTGGATAACTTCGACCTCCTGGAGAAGACTGATAGCCAATTGGCCACAAGCATCCAAGGTACTTGTTCTCCTTTCGTGGAAGCGCTGCGGGAAGCCTATGCTAGGCGTCAGGTGCCTAGACATCCCAAGAAAGCGGTGGCTCGGGCAATTCATGCTGAAATTCAAGGCGAGGAGGTCAATGGCGAGACAGGGATGGCTGCCCCGAAGGCGGATAAGCTAGGTAAATACATTCGGTTATGCCAGTTGCTGCTGTCTGCGGGTGCTTGCACTCAGCGCCAGATGCAGGTTGTCACAGGTGGGTTCGTCTATTTTTGCACGTTTAGGCGTCCATTGTTGGGGGCCCTCAACCAGGTGTGGCAGTTCATCCAGGGGTTCGAAAACGGGGCCTACAAGCAGAAGATCCCGGACGGCGTGCGGCTGGAGTTGAGTCGGTTTTGCCTCTTGATTCCTTTAGCACGGATGAACTTTCGACTTGCTTTGTCTGCAACGGTGACAGCCTCAGATGCCTCGACAACAGGGGGTGGTGTGACTGCTTCCTGTGGAGTTAGCCAGGTCGGGGCCATTGCGGCCAACCTACATGTGCGAGGAGACATTGCTGAGTTGGACGATGTGGACACCGTGTTGACTGTTGGGCTTTTTGACGGCATTGGGGGCTTGAGAGTTGCAGCAGACGCGGTTGGGCTCACTGTCATTGGTCATGTCTCCGTGGAGTGCCATCCACCTGCGCGGCGGGTGGTCGAAAGTAGGTTTCCTCATACGTTGTTCGTCAACTCTGTGGAAGAGGTCGTTGATGAGGTAGTCAAGTCGTGGGCATGTCAGTTCAGCCAAGTCAGCGTGGTGCTCTTGGGCGCTGGACCCCCGTGTCAAGGCGTTTCTGGTTTAAATGCCGACCGACGAGGTGCTCTTCGAGATCACCGTAGCTCCCTTTTTCCCCATGTTGAGCGCATAGCTTGTTTGCTGAAACGCCATTTTCCTTGGGCTCAGGTGCACCAACTCATGGAATCAGTCGCATCTATGGATGAGGCTGACAGGGTCGTAATGAGCCAATCTGTAGGAACCACACCAGTCCACATCGACGCCTCAGGGCTCACGGGCTGCAGGCGACCTCGTCTGTATTGGCCCAGTTGGGAGTTGGAGGAGGCAATGGATCGTCTATTTCCTCGGTTTCAGGTGACGGGTGGGCACAGGTGACTTGAGCATGACGTGAATGGGTTTCTGGAGCCTGGGTGGGCCAAGTGCAGCCCACAGCCCTTTCCTACGTTTACCACGAGTCGACCTCGAAGCCAACCTGGGCGGAGGCCGGCCGGTCTTCACCAGTGTAATGCAGAGGAGGTGAGTCGCTGGCAACGAGATTCCCATCGCTTTCCACCTTACCAATACCGGCGGGCGTTTTGTCTGGAAAATCGGCGTGGAGAAGTGCGTCTCCCTTCGGTTGAAGAGCGTGAGGTCCTCATGGGGTTCCCAAAGGGTTACACTGCACATTGCTTGCCCAAGGGTCAACGACAGGGAAGCGCCTGGATGGATGAGCGACTGTCTCTCATCGGTAACTCCTGGTGTGTCTTTGCGATCGCTTGGCTTCTTTATTGCCTTGGTGTACCTAGAGGACTCTGCAATCGACTCTCCATGTCAGATTTGATGCGGCAGTGCCAGCCGGGGGGAGGCACCCGTCTCCAGGGCTTCCTGTTGCGTCCCTTCATGCGAGTGCCCCGGTCCTCTATTGAACCCCAGCCCGATCTTTTGGCGCGCAAGTTGACAGGGCTAGTTAGTGGAAAAGGTGAGGATTTGCTCTTGCAAGCTCCGTCCGAAGATGTGCAGCGTTATCACCGCTTGAGGGCCAGCATTCCGGCCAACTTGTGGCGCTGGAAGACCGTGTGTGGCTGGCGATTGTCGGGAAGCTCTGAACACATCAACGTGCTGGAAATGCGTGCGGTCTTGACTGCTCTGAAGTGGCGTTTCGCCCGAAAGGGGTGGATCCGCACTCGGTTTGTGCATCTTGTGGATAGTCAAGTGTGTCTCCATGCATTGGCTCGTGGTCGCTCAAGCAGTCGGAAACTACGGCGGACGCTTCTCCGCATTAACTCTCTCTTGTTGGCATCTGGTGCGCATGGCGTGTGGACGTATGTTCACACGGAGCTGAACCCAGCCGACCGTCCGAGTCGGCGCCCAGTTAAGAAGAAATGGCTAAAGTAGCCAAGGCACATGTAGAAGGATGCTCACAAGTAGAGAGAAAGAAGCGAAGAGCGGAGCTAGGTACACTGCATTCCCTCACTGTACAGCCAAAAACACGAGCTAGGTATGAAAAGGCACTTGAGCAGTTTTGGGCTTTTCTCCGTCGCGAGAATCTTCCTTTCCCTCGAGGCACTCATGATCTGGACAGAGTGCTATGCATCTATGTAGAGCACTTGTGGAGTGAAGGTTTCGGACGTGCCCTCGCGGCTGACACAGTAGCCGGAATACAAGACGCACAGCCCAATGTCAGAAAACAACTCCCTGCTACCTGGCGCCTTTTAAAGGCTTGGAACGTTAATGAGATTCCTAGCCGAGCGCCTCCGCTTCCTGAGGAAGCCTTGCAAGCCATGATAGGGTACGCCATTTTCCACCATGAATACCGGTTTGCCATTTCGCTCCTCGTGGGTTTCTATGGAGTCCTGCGAACGGGAGAGCTGTTGGGTTTGACTTCAAGTGATGTGTCAGTTTCTTCAGAACGTGGACCCGCGGTGGTCGCATTGGGCTATACTAAGGGTGGCCAGCGACAAGGAGCAGCCGAAAGCGTCAGTTTGACTTCTGAACAAGTCATCCGTTGGCTGCACCGATGGACTTTGGACGTTCCTTTAAAAACGTCGTTGTGCACAAAACCTTCTCAGTGGAGAAAACAGTTCAATGACACCTTGGTAGCTCTAGGATTTGATACTTTTGATTTCAGACCCTACTCACTCCGAAGGGGTGGGGCCACATACTGGTTTCGAACGTGGGGGTCGCTAGACCGCTTACTTCTTTACGGAAGGTGGCAAACTGCCCGCACCGCCCGCACCTATGTCAACGACGGCCTGGCTGTCTTGGCCAGCATGCATCTTCCCTGGAACCCTGTAAATCGCCGTTTCCGTCAAATCTTTCAGAATTCGCGCCGTTCCCCCGTGCCAGTGCTTGAACCAGCTCTGAAGAGCAGGCCTGGGGGACGTGGAGGAAAGAGCTCCAAAGATAAGAAGAAAGCCAGGAAAAAATGCGT